ACAGCAGGTTTGGAGGGCGAGCACCCACAGGAATTGTCCCTTCAGCCACTTCTCTTCCCTCTTTCTCATGCTCTCCCTCCTTCCCATCACTTTCCCTTGGAGGCTCTTCCACTGCAGTCATCCCAGGGAGGGCAGGGAAAGGTGTTTGACCATGGCAGGAGAAACAAAGGCTCCAACATTTAACAGACATGGTTTAATAAAGCCTTGTTTGATACTGGACTGAAACGCTGCTAGAGGACAAAAGAAACATTCCCAACAAAGTTACCTTGAAAAGTCTTAGAACCACCAGGATGGATCCAAGGGATGGGACTCATGTTGGCAACACTCACACACAGAGCAGCAACTCACAGGTATTGCAGAGTAATGACAGCACAGTGCAGAAATTATGTTTTAGTTCAACATTTATATTTTAAAAAAACAGAAAGAATCAGGTCACTACTTTACTGTTTACCTTTTTATTTTTAGAAGTCATGCAGTCATATGGTATCACTAACTTTCAGGTAGTTAGTTAAAGTGCCTGTACGTTACTCAAATCCTTGGATATTGCTTCCCTGCCCTTTTCTTCCTCCTCTTTTTCTGTAGGTAATGATTTGTGCTGCTACAGGACTCAGACTGCTTGCCCTACTCAACACATGCATTTGAAAATTGGTTTGTGGGTTGCTGATAACATTGATTTTTCTGTTTATCTCCATCCTTCCCTCCATCTCAGCTCTTTAAAGACCCGTTCTCTTGGTTTCCTTCTGTTTGTTTTACAATCTAAACCAAGATTTTAATGCTGCAGGACCTGGGGGGAGCATTAAGATATAAACAGAAAAAGGCCAAAGCAACATGTTTTCCTAAGCTCACTCTGCTTGCCTTGATGGGTTCAACTCCTGTATCTATCCCAGCTGCTTCCAGCAGAGAAGCTCCATCGTGGGAAGGTTGGTTTTCTTTATTTCGACTTAATTCAAGTGTCACAACACACCCCTGAGCTGCATGAGAAGGCCCCAGGCCAGCTTGTCTTCTCACCCTGCACAGTCAAAGCGTGTGTGTGGCACAAACATGAGTTTTCTGCTTATTTTGATCCCCCTTCCAGTGCCACAGGTGTGTTTAGAGAATCATGGAATCACAGAACGTGCCGAGTTGGGAGGGACCTACAAGGATCATCCAGTCCAACCCCTGGCCCTGCACAGACACCCCAACACTCCCACCCTGTCCCTGAGAGCGTTGTCCAAACGCTTCTTTGGCTCTGTCAGCCTTGGTGCTGTGCCCACTGCCCTGGGGAGCCTGTTCAGTGCCCAACCAGCCTCTGGGGGAAGAACCTTGTACTGATATTTAAGTAAAGGAGACCCCAAAGCCCCTCTGCTGCTGTCTCCTCACAGGCCATTTCACGAGACTCACCAGAACTCTCCTCAGCACGGACTTACCCAACACCCCCCCTCCAGAGTATATCCAGAATGGATACAGAAACCCACAAGGCAGACCCCCCCTCACCGCTGGCAGAGCTGCCCCTGCCCCGGCAGCCCCCGCACCGCGACAGCCCCCAGACCCGGACCCGTCACCGGCAGGGCTCGGGAGCCGCCGTTATATGGCTCGGCAGGACTCTCTGGCATCCCGCCCTGAGGCATCGAGCGTGTCGGCGGCACGTCCCCTGAGCCGAGCTCCCGCCGTCCGCCGTCCATGTTGACTCCGACCCCGTGATCGTCAGAACGGCGCGGCCATTGCGTTCAAGAGGCCAGCCGGCCGGCCTCCCCGTGATTGTCAGAGCCAATAGCCGCCGCCGCGCGCGCGGGTCTCGCGAGAGCGCGGCTGGTGCGGGGCCGGCGGCCGGGGCCGGGAGACACATAGCAAACACTGGCGGTGGGCGGAGGCGGAGGCAGCGGCGTCTGTGGTGTCGTCTGCTCGTGTATGTTGATTTTCTCTTGTGTCCCTTGGGCTTTGCGGCCTCACTCTCCTCACACTCTTCTCGCCTCCTTCCCTGTGCTGGGAAGGGCGGCGGGGGCGGGAGCACAGCGCTCGGGGCGGCGCCGCGCTGCCCGCCGCCGACGCGGGGCGCGGGTCAGCTCGGCGCGAGCCCCGTGGCGTGCTGCGCGTCGGCTGTGAGGGCGGGGGACACAGTCACAGAAACCACAGAGTCACGGAAACGGCCAGGCTGGGAGTTTAACAAGGGCAAGTGCCGGATTCTGCTCCTGGGACGGGTAAGCCGTGGCTGTGTGTATAACCCAGGGCATGAAAAGCTGGAAAGCACTAAAGCAGTGCTGGGAAAGGGCCCTGGGGGTCCTGGTGGGTGGCCACTTGGCCATGAGTCAGCAGTGCCCCGGCAGCCAGGAGGGCCAACCCTGTCCTGGGGGGCATTAGAGACACACAGCATCGCTGGCGGGGCCAGGGAGGGGATTGTCCTGCTCTGCTCTGCCCTGGGGCGGCCTCACCTGGAATTCTGGGGCAGTTTGGGGGGACACAATGTAGGGAAGATACTGGGTCATTAGAGAGTGTCCAAAAGAGGCCACGAAGATGGTGAAGGGCTTTGAGGGGAAGCCGTGTGAGGACACTGAAAGCACTTGGTCTGTTCAGCTGGAGGAGACTGAGAGGAGACCTCATTGCACTTACAACTTCCTGGTGAGGGGCAGAGGAGGGGCAGGCACTGAGCTCTGCTCTGTGGGGACCAGGGACAGGACCCAGGGAATGGCCTGGAGTTGTATCAGGGAGGTTTAGGTTGGATATTAGAAAAAGGTTCTTCCCTCAGAAGGTGGTTGGGCACTGAACAGGCTCCCCAGGGGAGTGGGCACAGCACCAAGGCTGACAGAGCTCAAGGAGTGTTTGGATGATATTCTAGGGCACGTGGTGTGACTCTTGGGGATGGGCCTGTGCAGGGCTGAGGGTTGGGTGATCCTTGTGGGTCCCTCCAACTCAGCATGTTCTATAATTCTGTGATTCTGTGATAGGGGACCACAGTGAGTCATCTGTTCCCACCTCCCTGCTCCAGCAGGGTCATCCCAGCCCACATGGCACAGGATTGTGTCCAGATAGTTCTGGAATATCTCCTATGAGGGAGACTCCATAACCTCTCTGGTCTCTGTTTCAGTGCTCAGTCACTGCACAGGGAAGAAGTTCTTCCTCATGTCCAGGTGAAACTTGCTGGGCATCAGTTCCTGCCCATTCTCCTTGTGCCATCGCTGAGCTCCCTGAGCACAGCCTGCTCCATCCTCTGCCCCCTCCCTGCAGACAGTGACACACATGGTTGAGGGCCCCTCTCAGGGTCTCCTCTGGAGGCTGAACAGCCCCAGCTCCCTCAGCCTTTCCTCGTTACAGAGACACCCCCAGTCATCCTTGTTGTCCTGTGTTGTACCCACTCCAGGAGCTCCATGTCTCTCACTGCCCCTTCCCAGGGTCAGAACTCCTTGAGGAGGTGCAGAAAAGGCTTGGATAGAGTTTGGGATCCTTCCAGCTTTAAGTTATTTGCCCTGGAAAAGATGGAACAGCGAGATCTCCCTTTTTTCTCTCCTGGATTCCTTAAAAGGAGGTGGGATGCATACACGTGCTCACAGCCATTTTATTCTCTTGTTGCATCCATGTCCTCATTTTATTCTCTTATAATTGCTGCAGGATTAATTCTGACTGTGTGTGAAACTACCTGTTTTACTCCAGTAAGAAAATACTATCAACTGTTTTCTTTAGCAGAGTTATTTAGGCAGAATATTTCATCCTGGCACTCTTCTTTGACAATACACTTAGCTCACCTCAGTGCTGTGACCACTGTTCAGTCCAGCAGCAGTGCCTGTGTAGGGAATGAGTATCCAGTGTCCTACTCATTGTGTAAGGCTGGAGGAGGTGTAGCTGTGTAAGCAGAGCTCGAGTAACACCCGGTGTGGTCAGCCCCTCCCTCCTGTGTGAAACACGAGCTGGGCTGCTCAGTTTCTGATCATTAGAGTTACATTTAATGCTTTGCAGGAGTGACATAGCGAAAATCAGATGTGCATCATTACCCCCCGAGAAGGAGAGCTGCTGGCTATGGAGCTGTAAAAAATACCACAGAAAATCACAGAAAGATCTTTTGAGCATATAATGGGAGGTTTGGGGTGGTGCTGAAATTGTGGTGACTTCCCTCCACTGCTGTGAAAAAAAGGATGAGGATGAGTGTTTTCATGTTTAATCAACAAGGCAGAGAGGAAGCTTTATGCAGTTGATCACCAAAATAATGTCTTTCCCCCAAGCTGTTTATGAACTTTTGTGTGATTTCCTTTCAGAATTAAATATGATTATAAAAGCAGTTAATCCAATCAGTTAAGGCTGAGAGAAATGGGATTGCTCAGCCTGGAGAAGAGAAAGCTTTGGGATGTTCTAATTGTCCTTTCCAGTGCCTGAAGGGGCTCCAAGGAGGCCAGAGAGGGACTTTGGACAAGGACCTGGAGGGATAGGACAAGGGGGAATGGCTTCCCACTGCTACAGGGCAGGGTTAGATGGGATATTGGGAAGGAGTTCTTCCCTGTGAGGGTGGGGAGGCCCTGGCATAGGTTGCCCAGAGAAGCTGTGGCTGCCCCTGGATCCCTGGAAGTGTCCAAGGCAAGGTTGGATAGGGCTTGGAGCAACTTGGGTTAGTGGAAAATGTCCCTGCTCACAGCAGGGGGTGGAACTGGATGGTCTTGAAGGTCCCTTTCTAACCCAAACCATTCTGTCATTCACTGTTTAGAATTGATTTAATTTTAAATTATTGTTTCTTATTACTGTAATTAGTGGAAATTTGGCCTGGTCAGGACCCTACATTACATTGTCCTGGTTTTCTCTTCCCTGTCTTTAATTTATATCCTGATGTCTTTGTTGTTTTTTTTTGCAGGAGACACCAACAAATGGAATATAAATTAACTTAAGCCTACAGGGGGCTGGTGACACCTGAAAGAAGGTAGGCAAAATTGATATATAAAGATGTGTTCCAGACTGAGTTAATGGTGATAACAAGTGCTAGTATGGCATGGTATAGTTTGGTATCATACTTGGTTATGATGTGAAAGAACATACTCATCTGGATGCCAAAAATGAACAAACACTTGTGAGTGGCTTTGCAAATACAGGAGAAGATGTTTAAATGTGGTCTTGAACTCAGAGTGTGAGTTTCTCTTGGTCACCTAATGCTTTGTTTAGTAACTATTAAAAAAAATCTAGGATATTCTTATTGAAATTGTAGCATTGTAAATTATTTCTGATCGTAGTCTGCAGGAATAATAATGTGACAGACTTGTTGTCCTCTTTCCAACTGAATTCCAAAATCTCTCTTCCCAAATTCATTGTGAATTGAGACCTTATAGAGGTTTGTTACTTACAGTCCCCACAAAGAATCTGACCACTGACTGGTGAATATTTTTATTTCAATACAAAATGACGAAATGGATTAAGACTTTTACTCAGGATAGGAAACTAAAATTTTGGGAGAACTGTGAAATAGTGCTTTTTTTTTTAAGGCTTCTTTCCATCTTTGCTACTCCTCAACATTCAGTTGGTTTCCCAACATTACAGCTACCATAACTGACTGACCCAGCTCTGGAATTTTTTGGAGCCAGATGTTCATCAGAGAAACTGTTCAGATGGTCAGTGAGACAGAAGTGTCCTTCTGTGAGACACAAGAAGGAAGGGATGCAGCCTGTGAAAAGTTTTTGCTGGATGTGTAATTATTTTAATAAAGCTTAGAGCAGTAGAGTGTTAGAGCCTGTCTTTCAAAACATAAATATTTTTTCAAGTTCCTTTCTTACAGCTCATAGGAGTTGGGAAGAATAAGGGACTTGCATTTCCTTTCTCTTCTTCCAGGGAAAGTGGAGAAGCTGTGCTCTGTGCTTTTTATCTGGTGTGTTGGGAGTACATTTTGGAGCATGTTTGCTACTTAGCAGAGAAGTGAAATTCAGGTATGATCCATTTTTTTTAAGAAAAAGGCAAGTTGATTTTGATTATTACATCATTTTATCTAATTGTTTGGTCATTATGTTACTGTTGCCGAAAACCATTTCCCCATAAATTGTATTTGGTGATCTTTAATGAGTTAAAAACTCTAAAAATAACATTCTTGTGGTTGTCAATCTGTGCATTGAGTCATGCTGTGTGATGAAAGTAATCCTTCAGTTAAAAACCAAACCAAAACCCAAACTTGTTTCTATGAATGCATTCAAATTCGGTGACACTTGTGTTCTGAAAGCATTTTTAATTCTAGGCACAAGAGGTTGTAAATGTAAAGAGCCAATATGGGGGAAAAGAAGGCAGAACCATTGGACTTTGTAAAAGATTTTCAGGAATATCTTACCCAGCAGACTCACCATGTCAATATGATTTCTGGATCAGTTACTGGCGACAAGGAAGTGGAGTCTCTCCAGGGAGGTGAGCTCATTTCAGCGCCATAAATTTGACTTCTTTTGAGAGTGACTGCACTGTTTTCAGTCCAGGTAATTATGCAGGTTGTATGGAAGCATTTCTGATAGTCTTTTTCACATCACAAAAGATGTGTATATACCTTTGTTTTATAGTTCTGTATATTTAAAGACCAAAGGCATAGAGAAGCAGAAGATATTTGGCCTATTCTCACAGCGTGACAGTGTCCTACAGATCCTTAATTAAAATCTTTGTTGTGTTGCTCACAGCTGGGACAGAAGGTGATCAGAACGGCCTGGACCATCCCTCTGTTGAAGTTTCACTGGATGAAAACTCAGGAATGTTGGTGGATGGGTTTGAAAGGACGTTTGATGGAAAGTTGAAGTGTCGATACTGCAACTACGCCAGCAAAGGAACAGCTCGGCTCATAGAACACATCAGGATTCACACAGGTGGGGAATGTTCTGCTGGGCTTGGCTGTGGGGCTTGGGCTATTCACTCAGCATTGTGATTTGTGTGTGAGAAGCTGACTATTCAAGAAGCCTGATAGTTCTTAACAATTAGAACTGGGGGTTGGGTTGGGTTTTTTATAACTGTGTTTTAAAGGTGTGCCATGTATTTAAACTATGCAAATTCCTACTGACATTTATTGTAAGTAACTCTATGGGAGTAAAGCTTAGCATGAAAACTTCAATGTAAATTGAAGGGCTCTACAATTAGCTATTAGTTTTTCTGTGCTAATCAGAAAAGTGACAAATGTACATGTTGCTACCTGGAGATTTATAGGGCCTTTTCTTCCTCTGTTGTTTAGCTATGAGAATATTCCTGTTCTCCACAATGTTCTAGATGTGAAAGTACAAAGCATAGGAATAAGAGTAAAGTTTTCGTATTGGTAGAGTATTCAAAAGTGAGGGCATATGATCAAGTTGATTGGTAACAGTAGTGGAAAGAAACAAAAATCAATTGTGGCTTGTTTAAGAGCATTTGCCACTGTTGGGTGTATAAAGCTGAAAAGCAAAACTCTCAGTAAAGTGTGGAATATCCTAAACTGTTCCTGAAGTCAGCTCCAGCTTCTTGGCACATGAGAGGAAACACATGAAAGGTGCTTGTGAATCTACTGAGTATGTTACACTGACACAGAAGACTTTAGGGCTGGTAACTAGAGCAGTAAGAAAAAAAAATTATCTTCTGCAAAGAATGAAAGTTTTCATAGGTTTCCAATCTGGTATGGACTGTTCCAAAACTTCCAAGTGTCTTGGATAGTTTGGGACTCACCTTGAAGGAAACATGTTGTAACTGGAATATAATTTATCTCTCTTCAGGTACTCTAGTCACATTCTCACTTTGCTGGGAACCATTGCTTTCACAGGATGTTTATCACATATTAAACACAAAAAAATCCATCCTGGGATGGAAGCATCCATCCCAGGATGGATTTTGGGGAATTCAGTGCTCCTTGGTGCTGGTCCTGCAGTGTTGGCTTGTTTTGACAAGGCACAATCAGATAGGAAATGGCAACAACTAGAAATCAAAGAGTTCTTTGGTTCAGACTCTAGGGACCTGGTAAATTCTCCTCTTGTGCTACCATGAGCTACCTCTGTGTGTAGCTGTTGCTGTTTTCAGATTCCCAGTGGAAATTTTGAGGAGTTCCAGTAGTGGATAAGGTACCTTGGCTTGTGTTTAAGGCCTTTGCAACAGCCTTAAAGCCATGGCTTGCTGCAGAGCTGCAAAGCAGCAGTGGGCTTTGGAGCTGTTTGTTTGGTCTAGTTTTTCATAAAGCAGGTACAGCTTCACCTACCATTTGCCTCATATGGGATGTGGGCAACAAGGGAAACTTTTATCAGCTTTCCTCTGTGCAGTGCTAATGCTGAGCTTGTGAAATGAGGGCCGTGCAGTGGGGAAAACTGTACTGCAGACTCACAGAGCTCATTTTTAAAGAGTACTTAAAATATGCAGAGGTAACATCAAATTTAAAATGTCACATCTTTTCAGTAGCAAGAAGCTGTTGCCATCTGAAAACTTGCCTCCCCAAGCCCACAGTTCCTGCTGGCCAGGTGTCAGCATGAGCAGATGGACTGCTGGAGCTGGTGGGAGGCATAAATTGCTCCTAGAAAATGTTGGAATTGTGTGCTTGCTAGTTCTTGGGATGGTTTTCATGGTGTGTATGGGGTTTCTCAAACAGATGCAGGGCTGTCACTCTTGTGTACATCAAAGAGCTCTGGCAGTTTGGACACACCTTCACACAGGGAGCAGCCAAATTTCTGGTTCAGACCTGCCTGATAATGAAATACCAGTGACTGACAACAGTAACAGTTCACTTCTCTGCACCAACCTGTTCAGTTTTAGAATGTAAACAAGGATCTCGGGCTGCTTTTTTTTCTCTGTATAAGTTTCCCCTTTGCCTTGTTACAGTATATTTCCATCCTTAATTTTAATTCAGCACTGCATGTCCTGATGGCAACAGCACTTTGCCATAACCTCAGTGGCTCTTCAGAAAGCTCCACTTTCTTTCTTTGTACAGAGACAGGGCACTCCAGAACAAGAAAAGGGTAATTTTTGATTTGGTTTTCCTGGGGGCTGTTGTGTTTGTTTTTATTAATCAAGGGAAAGGAGATCCAAGACCTGAGTGTTGTTTTGCTTGGAAGCATGGCAAAGGGCCAGGAGATGGATTGCATGCACTGTGAGGGCTCAGAGTGATGAATCAGCATTAGAATTAAAACAGGGAAGTGGTAGCCTCAGAGTACTGTAAGTAAACAGGTAATGCATCCTGGATAACATCAAGTGTAGCAAAGTATCTGCCAGAGTAATTATGTCCCAGGCATGCTCATGCAGCCATTATTAAGTGCAGCCTACTGCAGGGTTGGCTTCCTGCAGAGCCTGACAGCAGGATAATGAGGAGTTCAGCAGCTGTGGTGTGTTACAGATGTGCAACACGTGATGCAAATCCTTTTATCTCTGAGTAACCATTTTTTTGAGTTTTTCATGCTATGTGGCAAGAGAATCAGTTGCACAGCGGTGATTTAGCAATTAACCTGGAATTCTAGATAGGAAGGATAAGATGATCATTCATTTCAGCATCTGAACAGGCATCAAATCCTTTAGGCATTTCTGACATTGCAGACCTGGATCTAAAAACTTCTAGAAGATCAGTGTATCAGAGGATAATCAAAAGTCCCAAAGCATTGTGTTACAAATGGCCTGTAATGATGTTTGAAAGTTTTCTGTATTTTTAAAATGCTAATGGACTATCTATAAATTTCATTTAATAGAAGATCAAAGTTCTACCTGTGTAAAAGGAGAGTACCTGACCACCTCCCATGTCTGGGAGAACACACAACTCTCCAGGGAGTACCTGGCTTTTGTTTTATTTAATAACTTGTTAGCCACAGGATCCTTTCTCAAAACTCAAGTTTTTGGTGGGTGCATGGTTTTTTTAGATTGTAGTTCCAGGATGTTTAATACTAGGGATGTTTGGAGGATACCAGAAGGGCATCCTCCCTCAGTGTTTAAGCTCAGTTATTATGAAGAGTGATTCATTTTGGTGGCACAGACATGCCTGTAGCACCATAGGTGAGGGAGAGTTTGGATCCAGTCCAGGGCACCACACAACCATCACTGCGTTCAGCCTTGGCATCCCTGGGGCGATTCCAAGGCAGCTTGTTTATTGTGCTAATTCCACTCACTTTTTTCCCCTGTGCTAATTATCACTTGGGTGAGGCAGAGATGTCCCAATGTTCTTTGTTCTTCCCCTGGATACTCAGCTGAGCTCAAGGCTGGCAGTGACTCTGGAGCTCGATCAGCAGCTCACAGCGAGCCGCTCCGTGTCCCACAAAAAGCCTCTTCCGAGTGCTCCGAGGTGCTTTAGCGTGATCTGTTCTAATTTTCCAGGTGAGAAGCCGCACAGGTGCCATCTGTGTCCCTTTGCCTCGGCCTATGAGCGTCACCTGGAGGCCCACATGCGATCCCACACCGGGGAGAAGCCCTACAAGTGTGAACTGTGCTCCTTCCGCTGCAGCGACAGGAGCAACTTGTCCCACCACCGGCGGCGCAAACACAAGATGGTGCCCATCAAGGGTACGAGGTCTTCCCTGAGCAGCAAGAAGATGTGGGGGGTTTTGCAGAAGAAGACCAGCAATTTGGGGTACAGCAGAAGAGCATTAATTAATTTGAGCCCACCTTCCATGGTGGTGCAGAAACCAGACTACCTTAATGACTTCACCCACGAAATCCCAAATATCCAGACTGAAGCGTACGAGGGCATGGCAAAAACGGCTCAGAGTGGAGGGCTGCCAAGAGATCCACAAGACCTCATGGTGGATAATCCTTTAAACCAGCTCTCCACGTTGGCTGGACAGTTGTCCAGCTTGCCACCTGAAAACCAAAATCCAGCCTCTCCTGACGTTGTTTCCTGTCAGGATGAAAAGCCTTTCATGATCCAGCAGCCTGCTGCACCTGCAGTGGTTTCAGCTGTGTCAGCAAATATTCCTCAAAACTCATCTCCAACCAGCCCAGATCCTCGGCCTCCACAAAATCAAAGGAACTATAGTCCCGTGGCCGGGCCCAGCAGCGATCGCAGCGCCCACACCAGTACTCCCAGTATAAGTAACAGCCAGCCGAGTACTCCAGCTCCAACCCTCCCAGTCCAGGACCCTCAGCTTCTGCATCACTGCCCACACTGTGACATGTACTTTGCAGACAATATCCTTTATACAATTCACATGGGATGTCATGGATTTGAAAATCCTTTCCAGTGCAACATCTGTGGGTGTAAGTGTAAAAACAAGTACGACTTCGCTTGCCACTTTGCAAGAGGCCAACATAATCAACATTGACTGAGACATGCTTTGGTTTAGTTTTTTAACATATTACAGTCTATTTTTCATACTTGCTGATGGAAAGCTTGCACATTCCCACATGGAATATTCACACTAGTCGATTCGACAAAGGAGGCACATTTATTTCCGTGTTGTTGTAAAACTTGCCAGGGAAATTTTGTGTAGGATTTGGTTGTTATTTTATATGTAGCCTTTCAAAGAAAGCCAAGAGTGCTGTCAGGATTGGAATGCATTTACATGCTGTGATTGCTAAATTTAAGTTGCTTGCACTTAATCCCAATAAACATTCTGCAAATGGAGAAGCAGAGTGTGTGTCCTGAACCATAGGATGTCACTACCAGAGTATTTACTAGGCTGGACAAGCCACATTATCCATAAAATATGAAAGGTTAATGCAGTGGCATATCAAGTAGTGACAGGACAAGGACTGCCAGAGGAGAGGGTTAGATGGGATATTGGGAAGGAATTCTTCCCTGTGAGGGTGGGGAGGCCCTGGCACAGGTTGCCCAGAGAAGCTGTGGCTGCCCCATCCCTGGAAGTGTCCAAGGCCAGGTTGGACAGGGCTTGGAGCAACCTGGGCTAGTGGGAGGTGTCCCTGCCCATGGCAACGGGGTTGGAATTAAATCATCTTTAAGGTCCCTTCCAACCCAAACCACTCTGTGATTCTATATGGCTACTTTGGAGACATACTTATCCTTAAAAACTTGGCTACTCTAAACCTGAAAAGCAAACAGAAGCAACTTCCACATACAAATTCAATTTGATGTAAAAGTTGCTTTAATCCAATGAAGGTTTATAATAAGTTTTTGTTTAGTAGCCTACACTCCTCATTCTAGGGCTCAAACACTAATTTAACTATTTTAAAAACTCGTCACAAATCTAGAAGGTAACGGGTTATTGGGAATAAAACTCTGGTAGAAAAAAAAAAAGAGTTAAAAGCTTGTCATTCCTGAGTTATACAAACAAAAAATTAAACAGAATACCTTATTTTAACCTACACTTTCCAAAATTCACATCTTTTTCAGAGGAGGTAATTTTTAAACAGACATAATAAAGAGCTTGTAGAACTAATATATATTCTGTGAGACTTCTAACTGCCTTAAACTAATTTGTACAGATATTTAAAATTTGCACAATTAGACTTCTGTCTTGCTGACAGGAGTGCTAATAGGAACAAACAAGAGGTTTACAAATTAAAACTCCTTTGTTCAGTTTTATGCTGGGCCAGGCTACAACTGAGACACTGCCTGTATGTTTGAGGGTTATATGATCTAGTTTATTGTAAATTCAGCTGACTTGGAGGTCTCTTTTATTCCCTCTCCCAGATTTAATGTCTTTTGGGTGTGCTGGAAATAAGGGGAAGGGCCTCTGGCTTTTCTGAGCTGTCCATGTAGGAGGCAAAGGAACTACACTGGGTTTAGGATTTTTAGGTAGCAAATGGTAACTGAAAATTATTATTTTGTTTCATACTATACATCTTATTTTAGAAGCCCCCAGGGTAACGGACAGGCACTTTAAACCTAAATAAAACATCTGAGCAAAATAATGATAACCCTTAATATGCTAGATAGGAATTTGAGACATTAAAAAAAAAGGAGAACTGTTACTTTTCCCATATTTAGACGTGCACTTTTACCTTGGTTTGTCTTACTTGAGAAAAATTTAAGCTTCCTTTATATATTCCCTTTTTCCTGTCAGCAAATTGGTTGGAATCTGAATAACAAATGTTTGGCTTATGCAAATTTATACTGTTCTGGGAGCTAAAACTTCCTCTAGCCAATAGAAAAACACTAACAGTGATGTCAGTGTAAGGTCAATGCAGGAAAAACCATGTGTCTGAGAATTTTAGCTTTAGAAGTAATTTTGACTTTAATTAAATAGAAATTTGGACACCAGGCATGTTTCTCTCTGCCTGACTTACCTACTGTTGATTTTCTGTGCTTAGGTAACCAGCTGAAGGGACTGGATTGTTGGCTGTGCACAATCTTGTAGTAATGAGGTCAGAAATCTGCCACTGGAGTGGTTCCAGCATAGTGAAGTTGAACAAAACACACTGTCACTCCTAAAAGTAATTGGTTTCAGGCCTGGTTCAAAATCCAGTTGGGTGGATTTGTAAAGCAGAACGTAATTTCCATTTTTCATCGTTACACTCTTCATCATTCCAAAACATCTCTCTGTTGCTTTATACTTTTAAAATTTATTTTATCAGTAGAGCTGCAATTCTGTGTGCATGGAGAGTCCTTTATTTTAAGGACTAAAAGCTGACTGAACTGGAATCCAGTTGGAAGTAACTGCTCCTGAGCAGGTTTTCTAAGATGCCTGTTCCAGTCAAAGGGGACAGGAAAGGTGGTTCCCTCTGCATCACATACTGGCAGATTCTAAAATCTACATTTGGCTAAAAATACAGTATTAGGATAAGAGAATTAACTTTATGATTAGTGATTTATAGAAGTGGTTTTCCTTGCCTTTTTGATAGATAATGCAATCTCCTATTCCGAGGCTCTAGCAGCTCCAAGGAAGCTTCTGGAATGGTGGTGCTCCAGGGAGCACCTTGCAGTGTGGAATGGCACCAGTCACAACAGCCAAGTTCTCCTTGGTTTGTGGCTCCAGCCTTTTTCCCTCCTGGCATCAGCAGGGAGATTGACTTCCATGTGCACAAATGTTTAGGATTCCCTCCCTCCATCCCACTGATGTGGTTTCTGATCCAGTAGGACTTTTGTTGGCAGTGCCTGTAAACAGTTGCAGACTTTTTTTGTGTGACAGCTCATGGTTTGGTGATTCAGAAAAATGACTTCTGAACCACGATGCCCTTGGACAAAGTTAAGGATAGGAAGCTGGTCAGGTCACTGGGATTAAGAGGAAGCCTGCAGGATCTGATGGAAAAAGGGCCCTCATTTAGGAGAGGATCCTCAGTTGTGGAGAAAATATGTTCTTAATAACAGAACTCAGTGTGGGGAAAAAAAAATCTAACCCCAAACCTTGCAAATTGTTGTTTGGAAGGATTTTAATGCTGCTGCCAGGATACCATTGTTTCTGCTTTGGAATTCCTCAGGAAAAGAAGATTAGCTTGGACATCTCTGAACAGCTGAACAATGCTAGGAACACTTCCCTGTTTCCTTGGGCAAACTCCTCTCCAGAGGGGTTCCTGGGCAGCAGCAGCTTTGGTGTTTGTCCCTTGGCTCTGCACCCAGATCCCTGGGGTGGATCCCTGCATCCTTCACAGAGGGTCACACCAGGGGGAGGATTCTTCTTGTTTCCTCCTCATGCTGTTGTGCCAAACAACTCCCTGACACTGCTGTTCCCTTCTCCACTGAGGAGCCTTGGAAGGGGTATTGGCCTATTTTTCATAATTTGTACATCCTATTGACTACAATTTCATAATTTGTACATCCTATTGTACATATTGTTTGAGAGTTTGATCCTGATGATTCCCTTGCCCAAGCAGGCCTTACCCTGTCAGTGTGGGATACTTGTCCAGGATTCTGGGATTGAGTTCTCAGTCAGAGGGACTTTTCATATCTAGTTCTCCATGTGCTACAATGCAATAACTTGTTTCTTTTTAAAAAACAAATCCTCATATTATAAGGTGGTGGGTGATTAGCATTTTATTAACAGGGAAGTTTTGGAAGGAAATGGAATTTTTCCATAGCTTGGTTCTGTTAGGTTCTGTAGTTGCAAAACATGAATTTTGTGAAGTTTTTGTTTTTATTGTAAGAGATTATTTTATAGCTTTGTGGACATTTCAACATGCACTATTTGTAGCACTCAATACAGACTTAACTGAGACTGAATATTCCAATAAATATTTGAACATCTTAATTATCTCAGTTAATACTTAAACCAATTCCAAAGCAGCTAATAGGGGAAAATAGTTGTTTTTTCACAGACACATGGTTAGATGAAGAGGATTTTGACATAAAATGTTGGTTGGCATTTTAATATAAAACTCAGTGCTGGGTGACATGTTCCAGCAGTGTTTTCTATCCAAATAATCTCTTGCTGTTTGTTTTGTTCCAGAATGTTTGAGGGGGGTGTTGACTTTTGTTTCTTTTTGACGAAGGGAATGTAACTTAGAAGTCTTTACTGGCAAGTTTTCTATTAATTTTAAGCTTCTCTGAAAATCTACAGCAAATGGATGTTCTGCTGCAGGAAATCTCTCTCCTGCTGAAGCATTTTTCATTGAGCAATCTTGGTGTATGTGCTTCAAAGTACCTACTTTGTTAATAATATGTATTTCAGTGTAAAGAGCATATTTTATGCAAAAACGAAACCTGTTAGAGTTGTAAAATAAATTTTAATGTTAGTGAATGTTTTTGAGATGACAAGGTTAATTCTGAAATAACTCTATCACGTGTAGTTCATGTTGTGAAGCTTTGCTTTTGTAAGATATGAATAAAATAACACTTTCTAATTAGGTCCCGTGTTAATTCTTAATTGCATGTGCTACCACAAGTGGAGCTGGTGATCTGCTCAGGATTAAATGGGATCTAGATATGGTAAGGAGGATAAACTCACCTCTGGGATTGCTCAGGGGCTGCTGGACAGAGCAGAGCAGAACAGGTCACCAGCCAAGGTGCTCTTCAGAATCTCATCTGAAGGAGGCTGTGGGTCAAGGTCAGTCCCATGGTAAGCAGGAAACAGGAGTAGATGACTTCCAAGTGCTCTTCCCAGGCTAATTTCTTCTCTGATTCTATGAAATTTAAATTTAAGGATGGTTTGCTCTTGGCTTGATCTCCATTCTGTGTAGACTGTTTTTCTCTTCCATACTATGGAGAGAGGTGTCACAGAAGGGATCTCTCAGCAGTACTGCAATTTAAACACCCAACATTCTCTATGTCATTATTTTAAAATATATTTATTGACTACATTGGTTGCCTCACGTTGGAATGAAGAAATTACGCTCGTAGCAGGGTCAGAATTTTGGGTTTTCAAAGTCTTTCCTTGCCTCAAGTCTTCCAAAAATTCTGCCTTCAGTTTGTTGAGTTCTTCTGCCAGGCTCTTCATCTCACTTGGGGGAACGTTTTTGTCTAAAGAAAATTAAAGTTGAACTTTTAACTTCATCTTAAAGACAAAATCATAGAATTGTAGAGTCACAGAATATCCTGAGTTGGGAGGGACCCACAAGGATCATCAGTCCAACTCCTGGCCCTGCCCAGGACACCCCAACAATCCCACCCTGTGCCTGAGAGCGTTGTCCAAACATTCCTGGAGCTCTGGCAGCCTTGGGGCTGTGCCCACTGCCCTGGGGAGCCTGGGCAGTGCCCACCACCCTCCGGGGGAAGAACCTTTTCCTAATATCCAACCTAACCCTCCCCTGGCACAGCTCCAGCTGTTCCTTGGGTCCTGTGTCTGGTCAACAGAGAGAACCTTGAACACATGCACAGAGTTGCTAATCATATAAATCCTATGAACTAAAATCCTCTAAAATGCTGGTCTGGACTAAATGGGTTTATTAAAGCTGTATTTAATAGTTAATAAATATTATACTGGGTTTTAAACCTACAGACTCTGACTCATGTTCCACAAATAACTGTGACCAGACCTGTGAAGGTGATTCCCTCGGTCACACCTGCTGGGACAGGATTCCTGAACAATTCTCCCCAAGGGAACTCCACAGGTTTAGTCTCCCACTGCCAACCAGCAGCTGGGGTGGGTAGGATGGGTGGGACAGGTAGAACATGTACCTCTGGCATCCTTCATGGCCTGAGAGATGACCCTCCTGCACGCCTGGTCAGCCTGGTGGACAGCACTGGCTGCACAGATGGCTCGATCTGTGTCCTGCCCAGGGCCAGCAGAAAGGGAGAAAACAAGCAAACACTTTAAATTTATCTAACTTTGGAAACAAGTAACACCCTAGCAGCACCTCAGTCACCACCTGAAGGCAAGCAGTGCTACCTTTTGCTCCGTGTCCTCCTCGTTTGGCCTCGCTGGATTTTCCAGAGCAGTGGCCAGCAGGTTAATTATCTGCTCACTAAGAAAACAAACAACAGAGTAAAACACATTAAATCAAACAGATTCACTGACATTTTTCTTCCATTTTGAAATGGTACCACAGAAAAAAAAAAAGAGCAAGTTTTCAGTTAAATTTATGAGGCAATCAGTGAAATGATCTGAGATGAAAAACAGTTACAACTCAATTATTTCCAGTCTTAATGTTTCAGGCAATTTACATGGATTTTCAATGTCAGGGTAGGAATGCAGTGAGTTTTGAGGTTAACTCTGCAAAGGATGGTGGCTGTGAGCTCCCAACAACCAGCCTGTGAGTCCTGTAACTGACTGGCTTCCAAAAATCACCACTGGGAATATTTTTTACACACTGTTTAGATAAAATAAGGAGCTTCTATCCAGTCATGAAAACAGCACTTAGGGAAAACTCTAGGATCAATCCAGTAGCATACTTGTCCTCTGAGATGCAATCAGAGCTTCTCAGAATGAGGCTGTGCTGCTCCCAAGCATTTTTCTTGAGATCTGGCATTTCTATTTTCCTTGCCATTAAATGTATTGTCTGCTCAGGTACAGGATCACTCCTGAGGCGATTCCTCTGCAGGCAGCATTCCAGGGGACAGTCTAAAAACAACTGGCAGAAGCCCAAGGAATCTAAAAAGAACAGAACAAGACAATTTTATCTTTAAACAGTTCAAGTAACAATTTCTGAGAGCAACACACAGGAGAAAGGCTCTGCATGACTGAGGGGATTCTACACAGGTTCTGAGCCTGATGTGAACACAAACCTAGACAGGAACACCAACAATTTTACCTTCAGGACTGCTCAAATAATACAGTCTGAGATAACACACAGAAACACAGAATGGTTTGGGTTTGGAGGGACCTTAAAGACCATCTCATTCCACCCCCTGCCATTGGTAGAGGCACCTCCCACTAGCCCAGGTTGCTCCAAGCCCCTTCCAGCCTCGCCTTGGACACTTCCAGGGATGGGGCAGCCACAGCTTCTCTGGGCAACCTGTGCCAGGGCCTCCCCACCCTTAGAGCCAAGAATTCCTTCCCAATATCCCATCTAAGTCTGCCCTTTGTCAGTGGGAAGCCATTCCTCTTTGTCCTGTCACTCCATGCCTTGTCCAAAGTCTCTCTCCATCTCTCTTGGAGCCCTTTTACGCACTGGAAGGTGCTCTGAGGCTGCTCTAAGAAGGGTTTTAAGTGTCCTACCAATTTCTAATAACACAGTAATGAAGTTCAGTTGCTCCTTATCGTACTGCAGGAACCCAGCAATTAAGAATAACCAAAGTTCCAAGAGAGCACTTAAAGCAGCTGAAGTGCCCTGGATTTCCTACAAGCACCCTCCAGCCGCGGAACAAGGAGAGCTCACATTTTCTGGCCAGCTGGTACACCTCGTACCGCATGCTCTGGTAGTAGAAGTTGT